AAGAAAAATAAAAGAAAAAAAAAAAAAAATAGAGAGAGGGGGAAGGGAGAGACAGAGAGAGAGAGACAGAGAGAGAGAGAGAGAGAGAGAGAGAGAGAGAGAGAGACAGAGAGAGACAGAGAGAGAGAGAGACAGAGAGAGAGAGAGACAGAGAGAGAGAGACAGAGAGAGACAGAGAGAGAGAGACAGAGACAGAGCCAGAGGCAGAGACGGAGGAGGTGTATATGGTTCTCAGAGCAAGGAAAGCACATGGTCATACAGGCAGACAGATACAAGCGCAACGAATAAGTAGAGGCACAATTTTGAACAAACACCCACAGGAATTTGAAAAGAATGTGGAGTAGGTAGTTCATGAGGTAGACGGGTGCAGGAGGATCAAGAGAGCTGGTTTGGGGAAGCAAGCGAGCTTTCACTGCTTAAAGACTATGAGTGAACAGCAGCAGGAAAGGAGTGAAAGAAAGTGAGAAGTGGTTGAGCCTGGCATAATCAGTAGCAATAGAGGTAGTTACCAAGTTCTTGAGCTGGGATCTGCACAATGAGCAAAGAGATGAATTTTGTTCCCTGTTGCTGTTTCACTTCACAGCAACATTTGAATGCTTACGTGTGGATTAGTTACTAGCTACACTAGCACCATACTTGGCTCTTGCGGATTTTCCTCGTTTCCCTGAGCAGTTTACAGGCAGAACATGACAATTCCACCGGAAGCTTCGAAGTTGGCGAACGAGGCCAATGCTGTCTTTGTGGATGAAGATTATGAGACAGCCCTGGAGCTCTACACCGAGGTGAGAAGGGAACCATCATCACATATCATTACTGACCATCCTGTGAATGCCTTTGCAGGCCATCAAGGTAGCGCCGACTTCTGCAGACCTGTATGTATCTCGTGCTGTGGTTCACTTGAAGATGGACAATTTTACGAGCGCGATCGCTGATGCCAATAAGGCCATTGAGAATGATCCCCAGAACTCCAAGGCTTATCTCAGGAAGGGGATAGCATGCTTCAACATGGAGGAATTCGCAACAGCGAAGAAGGCTTTCGAGCAGGGGAAACAGATAGACCCTGACAACAATCAATTCAAAACCTGGATACGCAAATGCAATGCAGAGCTCGAGGAAGAAATGGCTGGTGATGAGATGCCAGTACCGCATTCCAATGGAACATCTGTTGCTCCTGCGCCTGCGCCGGTCCAGAATGTTCCCCAACCGCCCCCTCCAAAGACTGTGCAACGTTTTCGCCATGACTTCATCCAGAATCCCACTTTCGTAACAGTGACTGTATACATCAAGGGTGCCGATCGTGAAAATTGTGACATCACTTTCGAACCAAGGGCCCTCAGCATTGATTGGACAATTTCCAAGGATGACTCTTGGCAGATCAGTTTTGACCCGCTATACGACGAAATCATCCCGGATGAGTCGACTACAAACTTCTACAGCACCAAAGTTGAGATCAAGATGAAGAAGAAGAATCCTGTGAAATGGGATTCCCTCGAAGTGAAAGCTGATGAGAAACCTCTGGATGAATTGAGTGAGGAGGTATCATCCATCATTACAATCACGATCTGATCAGCTGATTTATCTTTTTGGCAGGAAATTAGACGAAGAAGGGATTACTATCCATCTAGCAAGTCGCAAGGTGGAGCAGCGAAGAACTGGGATAAAATCTGCAACGAGATCCCTGAGGACAAGTTAGAAGGAGAGGAAGCTCTCAACAGTTTCTTCCAACAAATTTACGGTCGTGGAAGCGATGAGGTTAGTTTGTGCTGTAGACAACAAAGAGCAATGTGTAACAGATGAAACAGGTGAGACGGGCTATGAACAAGTCATTTCAGGAGAGCGGTGGAACAGTTTTGAGCACGAACTGGGGAGAGGTTGGCACCAAACCAGTGGAGGGAACTCCTCCTCAAGGGCTTGAGATGAAGAAGTGGAGCGATCTTCACAACTGAGTCTTAGCAAAGGCTACTCCACAGGTCTAAAACCTCGATGACTGAGCAAAACATTATCACTTGTTGAGCACGACTGCTTTAATGCTTGCCGAATCTCCTGCTGGTTAGAAAGCCCAGCACTATGTACAATCTACCATCTTCTCTCTAGCTCCTTACAATCCAGCGATCTTGAGAGAATCGTGGTTGTCCTGGGCTGAGTAGTTGCTTCCAGGGATGATAGATCCAGAGGCGTAGGGAGTGCTCCGTGCTAACTGGACAGTCTTGTATCCACCGTTCAGCCAGCTGGCAGTGAGCATCTGTGGTCAAAATGTCACGATAGATTTTTCTCCATGGCACTAGAGGTAGAAGACCTGCGTCTCCTGTGCCTTCTCGTAGAGTGACTGAGTGATGGGCTTCTTCGAAGAGGTAACAATGTTCTCAAACATACTGTTCCAACGGAGTCAATGAAAGCTGATGTGATAAACGTGCCGATCGGAAAGATCATGTACATCATCATTCAAGAATACATCAATCTCAATGCAGGATAGCATTTATGATATCTCAAAACTCACACCAGTATCAGCGGTTTATATGAACATCGGTAACAGAGGAATGCTGTTATTAATGATACCGCCGAAGGTTGCGAAGAGCAAATGAATGAAATCTATGACCAATTCTAGCGCCAACACTTTTGAATATATTCCTCTTCATCGTTCTCTTCATTTTCTGCGATAAAACATTGTTTTCCATCAAAGAAGACAACCTTGCACCTTCTCACTACAATAAATTATCTTCCTCGGCTTTGCCTCAAATATTCTGCCTTCCCAATGATCATAACTCTCCTTTCTCAATGAATCATGCATCAAACTATTTCTTTCAGTCGTTTAGAACATGTCGGAGGTATCCCGTCAACCCATGAAAGCAACTTCAGAACATGAGTTTGTACATTTTCGGCTCGTCTATTTCGGGAACACAAATTCACAACAGTAAAACAGGACACTATATTTGTAAGGGTGGTATGTAAACATTTTGTACTGTAGGAAGCGCTCAACTGGGGGTAGGGTCATATACCCCAAATTCTACTGCACCTAAAACCTAAAATATGGGGTAGGGTATAGTCAGCCGAGGCGGACTTGGTTGTGGGCTCGGCTTTTGACCGGCCGGGGGACGGATCGACGGTTACGTCCCCTAAGATATGCTCCAGGGGCCGTAACCGTCAGTACGGTTGAGTAAAAGAAATGCCGGTAGGGAGCCGGGATGGTCGGGAGGGGGGGGGGAGGGTAAGAAGGAGGAGAAGTGAGGAGAAAGCGAGGCAGTTTGACGAGGAGCAAGGATAGCTGGATGCAGAGGGCGAGTAATCTGTGGTTTGCAAGATGGGAGGATCCGTTCCTGGCAGGATTTCTGTTGCAGACGGAAAGCGGCCCAAACCTAAACTTGTAAGTGGACGGCAAGGAGGAGGGAACAGGTGGATGAGGAGCGGCTGTAGGAGCAGATTTTCAAGTCTGTCTTGGTGATAAAAGTTAAGAGTGGGTCGGGCAAGAAGAGTTTTGGAAGAACCGGGTCCTGAGATTACACAATGGTTGTGCGGACGGAATCGAGTGGTAAAGACAACTGCGAATGCTGGTGGAAGAGTGGCGGGCAAGCTCTCAAGATCTCGGGCAGCAGCGTCTCCAAGACCAGGGATGCTCCTGACTTCTGCGTCGCCCTCGGTGCCATGGAGTTCGCCAGCGGGACTCATGAGTTTGACTTCGGCATCAGCCGAGGGAGCGATTCGGTGGTGCATGTAGGGGTGGCGTCACCGGACCTGGAGCTGGATCAGACGTTCTGCAGGAAGGAGGCCAGGGACAGAGTGTGGTACTTCTTCGGTTGCGGGTACGTGAACGCGATGAGGAACGGATGGGACGACATCGTGTCCAAGGAGGCGGACGGTACAAAGCTGCCAAAGCTGCATACCTCAGACAAGGTGCGGCTGCACCTCAACATGGATGAAGGAGAGCTGCGGTTCTCTCTGTTCCGGCCAGAGGAAGGAGGATGGTCACAGCTCCCTGGCAAGCTGAGCGGGATCAAGGGGCCGGTCGTTGCTGCCTGTTGCCTACAAGACCGGGCTGTGGTGACATTGAGCGAGGGGGCCAAAGTGACCGAGCGGCTCATCACGGTGGACTCGTTGCGGAGGATGAAGGTGGACCGGTATCAGCATGTGACGTCCAGACTGAACTTGGACTTCAACTCTGGGAAGGGGGGAGGGGAGGAAGTGCCGCCCAAGTCCTCCAAGAGGAGCGCGGCGTCGGCAAGCATGCGGCCAATGTCGCTGTCCACGACCACCATCCCGATCATGGACCCGGTGTATATCATGCCTGTGCCTGTGCAGCGAGGAGGATACGCGAGAGCCTCAGTGTCAAAGCTGCAGGAGAACCTTCAGAGGAGGCTGACTTCTGACATCATGATCGGCCCCTCCTTCTCCTACTACGGCGGGGGTGGAGGAACAGGAGGAGCGGTAAAGACTGGGGACCCAAGAGGCACGGTGAAGGCAGTGGAGTTTGGGGAGAGCGGGTGGTTGAGCCCTGAGAGGACGAGGCAGCAGGGCGGCTCCCAGCCTCTCGGGGGGGAGGACGCTCTGAGATCGCCAGGAGGGAGGGGCTTGCTTATGACGACGGGGCTAAGGTGTCAGACTTCAGAGAAGAAGAGGAGGAGCTGGGAGGGGAGCGAGGCTACAGCAGCAATGGAGGAGAGGATGCAGGGGAAGGTGCAGATAGCGGAGAGCATCCTGTTGCACCTGAGGACGAGAGACCAGGCGGAGAATCACCAGCAGCACCAGCAGCATCAGGGCTGGCGAGAAGCGAACAACTTGCCGAGAGATCCGCCATGGCAGCCCAAGATCACAGTAAAGACGTCCAGGGACAGGTGAAGCGCCATTCTTGACCCCTTCGTCGCCCTCTCCCCCTTCATCGCCCCGTCGTCGTAGCATCCTTTCTTCCACTCCTCCCCTCTCTTCCCCTCCCCTCCCCTCCCCTCCCCTCCCTGTCGTCCTACTCTTTCCTTTGCATTCCCAACCTCCTCCCCCATGCTTCCTCCCCTGTCTGTCTTGGATCTTACTTCACGTGTCGCAGGATACGAATCCTCAGCCAGCAGGCGGCAGCTCAGCAGCGGACGATAGCAGACTCATTCAGGCCAGGAAGGACTCTCAGTCAGACGTCAGTCGACTCGCAACTTGCCCGCAGCCTGAGAAAGCGAAATGGGTCAATCTATCGGGTGAGGGAGGAAGTGGATGAAGGGCGAGTTCGAGGAAGAGGACGAGGACGACAGCAAGAGCAGGAGGATTGGGGGATAGGAAAGGATGGAGGAATGGAGGGCTGGATTGGAAAAGGAAAGGGAGAGGGAGAGGGAGGAGGAGCTGACAAGAATGCAGGAGATGAAGACCCTAAGGTTTGGTAAAGAAGAACAGAAGGGCGAGGAGGAACGTATGCTGTCAGTCAGCCTCAACGACCTGAGGAAGGAGAACTACAAAGAGGTAGGGGAGAGGATAGACGGCGAGAAGAGGGGAAGAAGGGGCGGGAGGCGGGGGGAGGGAGGGGAGGAGGGAGGGGAGGGGAGGGGAGGGAGGGGAGGGGAGGGGAGGGGGAGGGAGGGGGA